AACTCCCTTATAGTATGGAGTAAACTGCAAAGTCCAACTCGGTTAATATTTTTTTTTGTAAAAAGCCTATATAACACTTATCTTTTTGTTTAATGTTTTTTCTTAGTGCCATTATCAACCCGACTCCATTTTCTAGTTTAAAAAATAAATAAATAAATAAAATAAAATGAATGAGACTCCATTGTCTTCCACTTTTCTCTGTTTTTACCATTTTCTTCTTCTCTCCTTTCTTTCTTATACCATGGCAGACCACACACCCTCCGACGTCAATTTTTTTCCTTTCGAAAATGTAACTTTTGCAGTTCGGACCAAATACACAGACCTCGATATATATATATATAATAATATAAATCCATATATTTATCAGCAATGATTTATAACACTAATAGTGAGTGTCAACTCATTAGAATTGGTTTTACAGCTCAATAATTAAAGCTCTAAAGTATTTTTCTATATTTATTTGCTCCCAAAAAATCTGTTTCTTAAAGCCCACAACACGGTAGAGAGAAAAAATAAATTTCAATTTCTTGAGAAATACTCTGTTCAAAAAAAAAAAAAAAATTCTTGAGAAATAGTAGCAAAAGCTACCAATCCATTCACGAGCTATTACAAACATTCCATTGCTGACTCCATCGGAGCTCAAATCATCCGAAACTATCTCCATCGAAAACAACTGTCTAAGGTATATGATACATTGGGAGGTATTTGGGAATGGTTCATGTCTCAGCTCATTCTCATTAGAGGTATCACTTATTATGATATCTATAAAACATAAATTATTCCAAATTAATAACCCATTTTAGTGTGTGTGTATATTTGTGTGCTGTAGTGTGAGGTGGTCCCATGGTGACCTTGGGTTGTTGAAGCAAGGAAAAAAGATAGGGAGATGAGGAGGCGGAGATTATGTGCAGTGGTGAAAAGAAAAGGGAAGAAGAGAATGGTTCGATCACTGCTGTTAACAGTGAAAAGGTGGAGGAAGAAGAGGATTGAAAAGAAAAAAAGAAACAGTAAAATAAAGAAGGAAAAATTAGAAGGGCAAAAATAAAAGTTCCTAGTTATTTTGGCCAAACATGTTTGAGACTTGTCACACACACTTAATTTGGTGCGTGCTTTGCTGTTGCTGTCAAATGTAATAGAATTGGTTATTTTTACATTATATTCCGGAAAGCAAGGATACTGTATTTTTGGACTAAATCACAATGGAATAAAGTATAATTAATCTTAATTAAAAAATACAATTTCTTTTCTTTTTCTCTCGCATATCACAATCATTTATTTTCTTTGGTGATCCAGAAATGTGTCAGTGATTACTTGAATTTGCAAGAGGGTGGTCAGGCTTGAATTCCAAACCAATCCCTCTTTGAGATAGCTTGAATGAACTCATGGTTGTATTGTATGGCCCAATATATATATCTTCCCAAGCTTAGGTGCCCAACTTCCACTTTACCCTGTTGATCCACAATTCCATTGTTGGTAACACACACAAAGAGCTAGCATGAATTGGAATTGAAGAGGCGGAATTGGAGGGAAGAAACTGTAGAAGCACCGACTGGGGATTGGATTAGGGCATTTGGTAGACAATGGGAGGTTGTGATTAGGGTAATTGGGAATCAATTGTTGGGAAGGAGACCTATTTCTCTGATTTTACTACAATTCATCTCATCAGAAATTATACAGTAGGTTAGGAAGACCACCCAACCGATTAATGAAATGTTATAATTTGTTTATCATTTATTAGAGTCATTGGAAAGATTATGGTCTACCTCTTCAAAAGTATATATCATATTTACTTTATGATTACAATATATATATATATATATATAGCGCATAATTTCACACTTTCTAAGTCATAATAGAGAAAGAAAAAAATTGTCATAATCAAATACAAAAAAACCATAACAACTCATAACCAAATACAAAAAAGTCATAATCAAATATCTCAAAATAATGTCATAACTAGAGAAAAAAATTGATCATAATTAAAGAAAAAATGACGTAACTAAAATCACACTTTCAAGTCATAATAGAGAAAGAAAAAAATTGTCATAATCAAATACAAAAAAACCATAACAACTCATAACCAAATACAAAAAAGTCATAATCAAATATCTCAAAATAATGTCATAACTAGAGAAAAAAATTGATCATAATTAAAGAAAAAATGACGTAACTAAAAGTGCATATGATATTTTGATCAAAAAAGAAAAAAGAAAAAAAAAAGGTGCATATAGCATGAGTATGCATAATAGAATTCTCCTAGTCGTATATTTATTTAGTCCTTTATTATTGGTTGGTCACACCGTCAAACGTAGAATTCCCAAAAGATAAGATAATTACTCAAATCTTACATTTATCTAAAAAAACAGTAATGTTTATCACATGGGTTGAGTTTCTCTTATATTTGAATCTCAACATAAGAAAATTTGAGGAGTTTGTAAGGCCCATCACGAATTCAATTATTCGAACTGTTCGGGCCCTCAATATATATTATCCATAAAAAAAAATTAAGGCAATCCGATAATTATAACACTTTCATTTTTTTGCATTTGTTTATAAACAAATGGATAGTTAATTTCAAATATATATTTAATGTTCATTTTTTTGAAAATAAATACGATAAAATGATAAATTTGTGATTATTAGATCGAATTAATTCTTTTTATTAATAATATAAATTGGTAGTCTTATAAAATGAATGGTTTGAATCATTAAAACATAAATCGTGATAGACTCCATTGGCTACTCAAATTCTTACCCTATCCGATTATGTAAAGTTGGTACATAATTATTTAATGGTTGCAGTTAAAACTCAAATTACTTACTAATTTGTAAACAATAATCTCATAAAATATTAGTTAGCTTGAAACCAATGTAGCCAAAATTCATATAAAGTTTGATTTTAATATTATTTTATTTAGGGTAAATTAGAGGACTTTTTTTTTATTATTATTATTATTATTTTTTATACAGGACAAATACTTATAAATTGCCTAACACTTTTTTAATGTATCAATAAATTTTGAAATTATTCACTTTGCTCTAACATTTTTTTTAGAATATTGGTAAGTAAAAAAAAAAATGTAGGTAAATAAATCTGATTAATAAAACTACCCGTAAATTCCTTTACATTAGACATGGATTATACAAAATTTTTTTATTTTTCTCATTCCATGTATATAGAAAATTGTAAAAATTCTCACTAACTAAATAATTTTTCCATTCCACATTTATCTAATATAAAGTGTAACTCGTGCAATTGAAAACTGTAAAGGATTACACAAATTTTCACTTGTGCTCAACATGTTTTCTATTTATTCCAAAATAGAGTTTGCATCTTTGAGATATGGAGAAAACTGAATGATTAGAGTGACTACGATGATTAAACTTTCAATGAAAATGGTAGCATTATAAGAAATAAAAGAGCTATAAAGGGGGTTGAGGAAGGTAGTGTAGCGAACGTTTATATTGGTGGTTGATCAAGTAAGTTACAGAGGTAAAATAAAAGACAAATAGAAGGTAAAGAAAAAATAGACAAAAAATATTTTGACAAACCATGGACAATATTGATTATCTCATTTCTCATTTCATTTTTCTCATTTCATGTATATTGAAACGAGTAATTTTTTGATTTACCATTTATATGATTTTTTTTAATTTTTTCCAAAATTCATTCCTTTGCCTCATATTTAATGGGTAATAAGCCGTGGATATTCCGATCCGTCTAAACAGATTGAACCGAACCGATCTGTTGTATTTTAGACGGATGCATGATGACGAGCAGACAGTTGCATATTATTTTTTTCAATTTGCCTAGTTTTGAACGGATGTTGGATTTGAGATTCCTTTGGCCACAACCGAACCGCCAAACCGCGAACACTCCTAATTTTGTAAGACTTTATGTTTTTAATTTGTTTAGATATTCCGTTTGTATTTTCAATAAAAAAAATTTAGATATTCTGTTGTATTTTCAATTTGAAAATTCTTTTATCAAATGACAGGGGTTGATATTTGGTATATTTGTGTGAAAACTATAAAGCCTAATTTTGTCATTTTAAAAAAAAAATCAAATTAAATAGTTTTTGAATAAAAAAAAGTAATGAAATAATTTTGATAATGCATGATTTTCTTATATGTATTTATTATTGGTATTTGACAATTTATTTAATAATCTGTTGGTTATGTTGAGTTAGATTGTTTCTAAAAAATAATTTTTTGACAAGTTGTGTTATGTTCAAAATTTGTAAAAATTTAAACTGGCAAACCGATTTGCATCAATTTGTCAATTCGCTCAATCCGCAACTGTCAATTCGATAGATGGATGTGGATTAAATTTTTCTAATCCACCTATCTAGCAAACAGGTGATAGATTAGAGGTTTTCCAGCTACAACTGAACTGCGAACACTAGGGCTGGGTGTAGGGTTATCCGAACTGCCCAAATCGTCCAAACCGCCCTACTCGATCCGAGCCGTGCACGTATGGGCGGTTTTGCAAACACATTAGGGTAAAGTGCGGTTTAGATTTTATTTAATTTTCGGGTTGCGGGTTTAACCCGCACCCACCCAACCCTCCCGCATAAAATTTTCTTTCTTTTTTTTTTTTGGGTCAAATCTAACCGTTCAAAACCCCCATTTTTTTCCTTCAAATCTAACAGTTCAAAAAAGAAAACCCTAATCAATCTTATCTATCTCTCACTCTATCTATTACGAGTGTGCATCATATCGCCAAAACCACCAAAACCGCACCGAATCGCTCCGAACCGCATCGAACCGCACAAAATTTCAACTTTGGCGGGTAGGTTGGGCGGGTGGGAGGTCCAGCAATGGCGGGTCAGCGCGGGTGGCGGGTGAAATTTCCCAACCCGCAGGTCTAACCGACCCGACCCACCTATGTTTCAAAAAAAAAAAATAATAAAAAAAAAAAAAATCCACTGCTATACACACAGATCCAACCACGGGTTATATATACCATACATATACTCTCACACACACAATAATTTCTCAATTAAACCTACGCCCACCCACACATTTCAATTTCATCTCATTCACACACACAGCCGTGGAGATTTATCGCCGCTCCGCTGTTGCGCCGATCGGCTTAGCCTCTCCTCACTGCCGCTAGCTTCTCTTCACCGCCGCCAATCTGTTAGCCTCTCCTCTCCTCACCGCCGCTGCCGTGCCGATCGACTCACCGAGTCACCGTTGTTAGTCTCTCTCTCTCTCTCTCTCTTTCACTTCTCTTTTCTCTCGATGCTCTCTGTCTCTTTTTTCTTTTGTTGCTCTCCCTCTATTCTATATACATTATATATATATATAATATATCTTGCTCTATATACAATAATAGATATATACAATCAAGTGATGGTTTTGCCCACTGACCTTGTTCCAAAAAAAAAAAAATTTTGCCCGGCTGACCCCTGTGACCTGTCTGTGCTCTCTCTTGTATTTATAGTGCCAAAGCATGTAAAATTTAGGATCTTATCGTAAGAGGATTGCAATAAATTACACTATTTGAAAATACTTCTTTCTAGTGTGGTCAGTTAGTAATTATTGCAAAAGATATACAATCGCCCACAAAACCCTTTTCTTTGGCCCCAAGACTTGGCTATTTTATTCTTCACCTTTTGGTTCTCGCTCTCGCTCTCGCAGATCTTCGTCTCTTCGATTCATTGACCTCTTCGACAATCTTCGCATCCTCAATCACCGTGAGTTTCAGATTCATTTGATTATATATGTGTATATATAAATATATGTTCTTAATCTTCATACCAAATTCAAGCATCAAACAGCCCTAAGTCTGTGTTTTTTTTTTTTTACTGCAAATTTCTCTATGAACTTGTTTTATTTTCTTTCAAGAACTTCATTTGCCCTAATGATGGTGTATTAACAGTGCAATTACGCGATTTGTGATGCAAATTAGGTTAATCTAATCAATAAATTTGTTTATGTATTCCGTATGAGTAGGCTGGTGTGGTGCATATTCGCAAATGTCTAAGGCAGCTGTAGATGTTCCAATGAAGGGTGGGTTTAGCTTCGACCTTTGTAGAAGGAATGAAATGCTCATAAAGAAAGGCCTTCAATCTCCGTCTTTTCTCAAGACCGGCACTACTATCGTCGGACTCATTTTCCAGGTTTGATTTGATTCGAATTTCACTGTGGTGAGGTGTATAATCTGATAGATTTAAGCTGTCCTAGCATATTATTGGGAAATTGTGAAACTTGTTCCCATAACCTTTGAGTTGATTTTATAAATAATAAATGATGTTTTGTTAATTGAAATCATCATTAGTTCTGTTTGGTGAACTGAGTCTACTATATGAGGGATTCATGCCTTGTAAGTGGGAATCATGGGCATCTACACCACAGTTCATGTGATCCAGTATTTTTTATTTATTTATAGAACTTTATCATTCATGTGAAGTAGATATTTATTTACTTAGTATTGAAATTTTAGAACAATTTTATTGGACCATTACCAACTTTTAAAATTATTAGATTTGGCATGATAGTGATGTAATTAAATGCATATCACCAAATCGTGGAGTTGGTGGATGTTGGAGAACAAAGTATACACTTTCAAAAAAAAATTAAAAAAATTTAGAAATATCATTAGCTAGCTTGGCTATATATACCTCAACTTTTATAAAATTTCATGCACATTTTGAGTGTGAATCTGACCTTGGATGGAGGTTGTAGCCTCCATTCCTTACACAAGTGCTTCCAAGAGTTTACTCCAAGGGAATCTTCCAAGTTCTTAACTTGTGAAAGGCATAAACATCATCCCATTAGTGTAGTTTATACACTATTGTTGACACACCTCAAACCTCTCACCTATAAGACTTTGTTTGGGCTTAAGGGTATTGGTTTTCCTTCTTGAAGTCCATGTTCTAGCTTTTGTAAATCTAGTGATTTTTCGGCTTTTGATTTGGAGGTTGTAGTTTTTGGTGGGCGTAAACCCACTGTAGTATTGTGGAAGAGGTTTAGAGTGTAACCTAGTGAAAATCTTTGAAGGAGTATTTGCAAAGGTTTTGGGTTGCCCTAGTGAAAACCTGTTTGAATAATGGATTAATGCCGACATGGAGGTTGGGAGTGGATGTAGGCAAGTTGCTGGACTTATCACGACCCAAACCCGCTCCTAAAAGTTTGGATCATGACCGGCCAGTGACCTCTTGATTACTTACGGCCTCAGACAGATTACAGAGAATTTATAATAATGGGGCCTAAGCGGAAGTAAATAAAATAACAAAACGTCCATTGAGCAATGCTTATATGCCAGTATTTTAAACATCATGTCATATACAGAAAGTTCACATCCACAATTCATACATTCAAGTACGAGTCATGCAGGTATATACAAGGAGTTAGCAATCCAAAAATTACATGTTAACAAGGTGTTCAAACAAAAGTTGCCAAAGACTTAAACAAAATTTGCTATCATAGAAAAATCCCAAAAGACAAAAGGCTCCTTTTTGGAGGCTTATCAAAGCAGGTCCACCAAAAAGACTCTTGAAGCTGACCTAGGACTGACATCCGAGTTGAACACTTACATAAATATATATAAATACCTAGTGGGGCGAAGCTCGGTGAATAATAGTAAAGTAAATTAAATGAAGGCATGTGATGTAAACCCAATATTTGTCCAAAGTGCAATATTCAGAGTATCTATCATAGTCACGCTAAGCATAACGTTATTCATAATCATATTTTCAGAATGGCCTCAGGCCCATTTATTGCGGAACAGTCTCGGGCTCACATGTAACAAAACGGCCTTGTGCCCAATCACATTATATCAGTTGTTCAGAACGACTTCAGGTCCAAACATATCTTATCATAAAGAAGATGGAACATCGACATGTCTTCATCTCTCACATAGAACAGAACGGCCTTGAGCCCAACATAATGCAGAACGGCCTCAGACCCAACATAGTAACAGCTATTCTGAACAACCTCAGGTCCAAACATGTCTTTTCATAGAGAAGATGGAATATCGACATGTCTCCATTCCCTACAGCCTTAGGCCCATAACAGCCTCGGACCCATCACTTATAACAGGAACAAAATGACTTTACGTCCACATTTCTTTTGTTCGTTAACATTCGTCAAGCATCCTTTACCATTCGTAACAAGGCATTCTATAACGTTCGTAACACATTTATATCATAATCCAATATCATATATATATATCGTTCAATCGTTCCAAAATAGCAATTAGCCACATCATTCATATCAAAATAAAATAGAGAATTAAATAAGAACAGATCTTTACAATACTATTACTCATTGTGATTCGGTCGTGTAACGGTCCCTTCCGGCGAGTGACCTACGCATTACACACACGCAACTTGATAAGCAATTCATTCTTTTCTTAGCTTCTTCTCTTTACTCATTTTTCTGTTTCGTTCAATTTCTATTCATCTTTAAGCATTTCGGGAGGGCTTACATACACACATTAATAGATTCAGAGGGTCGAAAAGATAAACAAAATGCATTAATTTTCCTCCCTGTTTCCCACGTGTGGAAGCCCCACCGCACGTGCGGAAAAGTGTGCCACACGTGTGGCCCGTACGTGCTTTTATTTCAGAATGTTCTACTTGCTTGCTTTGTTTTCCACACGTGCGGTTTTGGGCTCTGTTTGTGCAGTCCGAAAATCCAACAAATTCAAGCCTTCCAAATGCATTTCTAAGGCCCAATTCAAGCACTTTCACTTCAAACACATGACATATAAACATAATAAGCATGAAACTCAAGCTCAAAGTGATCATAACTTACTTTAATTTGATATATAGAACACTAATTTCCATATGTCCTTAATTTTCTTTATCGTTTCATGTTATACTTGTATATGCTTACTTATATGCTTACATGAGTTCAAGGCATGCAAAGACTCAAGATTAAATCACAATTTCTCACTATCCAACCCAAATCAAACTAAAAATAAAGGAATTAACTCTTTAATCACACAACCCAAAGATTACATGTTCATTTTCATGAAATGTGTTCAATCAAGATCATAATCCATAAACCCTAACTTTTATGAGTGTCAAAGTTTCATTTTAAGTCTTGATTTTAACCAGTTGAAGCAAGATTAAGAGTATTCTAGTTGATTTACACTTGCCTTGAGCTATAATCTTGATTTTCCCCTTTCAATTCCTCAATCGCAAGCTCTAGGTTGAGTTCTCCTTTGCTCTCTTTCTTTTCTTTTCTTTTCTTCCTTCCTCTAGAAGCTCTCTCTTCAGGAGATATTTTGAGTTGTGTTGAGTCTAAGTCTCATAAGGCTCTTACACATATCCTATGTCACTTAAGCTTATTGAATCTAATTGGGCTCAATTAAGAATTTAGCCAAATGAATCCAATTAATTCATTACGAATCAAATTTTTACAAAACTTCATCTTGTGTCCTAAAAATCATGCTAATCATAATTGTAAAGTCAATTTCGGTTTATCGCCCCTCTAAGGCTTTCAATTTCCAGTCCAAAGGTTGGAATTTCAACAAATTTTCTCATAACCGACAGATACAAGTTTAGAAACATGTAATTCACACATTTAAATATGAAATTTCACATTAAGCACACATATAATCACACATATAATGAGAGAATTAAAGCATATAAAAGAGTTGGGTTGTTACAGGACCACTATAAAATCTTGTGTTCATCCCTTTTATTTTGAGACTTAATTTGATATATAATTTGTAATGCCTTGTGAGATGAATGTGTTTCATGTTTTTGTATTGAGCTGGACAAATTTAGAAATGCATGATTGACAAATTGTACTCTTATTAAAAAGTTAAATCACGAGAGAATAGAGAGTACTTCTCCAATAATTAGGTTTTGCTTCATCAAAATTGAGAGAATGATTTTTGTGCAACCTAACAAATTGAAAGGGAGTTTGATGGGTTTAACAGTTATTCATAGTTTGAATTGACCGAGGTTAGGACTTTTAAATTGTAACAAAGTATACAACCAAGTGCTTAAGTTGTTCAAAGTTGACATTCACAAAAAATGACATAGGTTCAATTCAACGCAATAAAAGTAATTTAGGTTCACAAAAAAGTTAGGTTGTCATATTCTCCCCCTCACAAAAAATTTAGGTTGACATTACGCAAAAAATTTAGGTTGTCATATACACACTAGGACACTTTCACATTTGCTTACTAACATTGTGTTTTTATATGCCACTCTTCTTTATTTCATAGATTCTTCGGACTGGTTTGTTTGTGTAGATGCTTCTTATACTCTTCATCTATAATGATATTTTCATTTCATATTCAGGATGGGGTCATCCTTGGAGCGGATACAAGAGCTACCGAAGGGCCCATTGTTGCTGATAAGAATTGTGAGAAAATCCACTTTATGGCACCTAACATTTATTGCTGTGGAGCAGGGACTGCTGCTGATACAGAGGCTGTGACAGGTAATTTCAATTTATATGTTCTATGTCAGAATATAGGTAGTTAGGGTTATGCTATTACAACAATAGACAGCCTTTTATAAGCTAAGTTTTGACAATATTGTCTTTCTAGACATGGTCAGTTCCCAGTTGCAGCTACACAGGTATCATACTGATCAGGAATCAAGGGTTGTGACAGCCCTTACCCTTTTGAAGTCTCATCTTTTTAGGTAAGGATACATAGTTCAAGGTTGGTGTTCTTAGATATGCGAGTACTTTCTGTTAGCATATTAGAATTCAAGGTTTGCTTGTTTTGACTGAACCAGCTACCAAGGTCATGTCTCAGCTGCTTTGGTGCTTGGTGGAGTTGATGTGACTGGACCACATTTGCACACTGTAAGTGATTTTTACTAATAGGCATCTGAAGGGTATCGTGTTTTGTGTCATACTAAGGTACTAACTGTTTATTGAATCACTGCACAGATCTACCCACATGGATCAACAGACACTCTGCCATTTGCTACTATGGGTTCTGGTTCCCTTGCTGCAATGTCTGTTTTTGAATCAAAATACCGTGAAGGGCTAACTGTAAGTTGGTGTATTCTGATTGGTAGAAGTGTTTAGAAAGTACAAGTTGAATTGATTTTAAATTTTATCATGTTTCTTAGAATTCTTAGATTATCATTGGTGTATATAATACAGTCAACTTGGATTAATTTGTGTTACTTTGGAATATTGTTTTCCTTCGTGTTTTCATTCCTACTTAAAAAAATAGGGAGTATATATATACATATATTTGTTCAAAGTTGACATTCACAAAAAATGACATAGGTTCAATTCAACGCAATAAAAGTAATTTAGGTTCACAAAAATGTTAGGTTGTCATATTCTCCCCCTCACAAAAAATTTAGGTTGACATTACGCAAAAAATTTAGGTTGTCATATACACACTAGGACACTTTCACATTTGCTTACTAACATTGTGTTTTTGTATGCCACTCTTCTTTATTTCATAGATTCTTCGGACTGGTTTGTTTGTGTAGATGCTTCTTATACTCTCCATCTATAATGATATTTTCATTTCATATTCAGGATGGGGTTATCCTTGGAGCGGATACAAGAGCTACCGAAAGGCCCATTGTTGCTGATAACAATTGTGAGAAAATCCACTTTATGTCACCTAACATTTATTGCTGTGGGGCAGGGACTGCTGCTGATACAGAGGCTGTGACAGGTAATTTCAATTTTTATGTTCTATGTCAGAATATTGGTAGTTAGGGTTATGCTATTACAACAATAGACAGCCTTTTATAAGCTAAGTTTTGACAATATTGTCTTTCTAGACATGATCAGTTCCCAGTTGCAGCTACACAGGTATCATATTGGTCGGGAATCAAGGGTTGTGACAGCCCTTACCCTTTTGAAGTCTCATCTTTTTAGGTAAGGATACATAGTTCAAGGTTGGTGTTCTTAGATATGCGAGTACTTTCTGTTAGCATATTAGAATTCAAGGTTTGATTGTTTTGACTGAACCAGCTACCAAGGTCATGTCTCAGCTGCTTTGGTGCTTGGTGGAGTTGATGTGACTGGACCACATTTGCACACTGTAAGTGATTTTTACTAATAGGCACCTGAAGGGTATCGTGTTTTGTGTCATACTAAGGTACTAACTGTTTATTGAATCATTGCACAGATCTACCCACATGGATCAACTGACACTCTGCCATTTGCTACTATGGGTTCTGGTTCCCTTGCTGCAATGTCTGTTTTTGAATCAAAATACCGTGAAGGGCTAACTGTAAGTTGGTGTATTTTGATTGGTAGAAGTGTTTAGAAAGTACAAGTTAAATTGATTTTAAATTTTATCATGTTTCTTAGAATTCTTAGATTATCATTGGTCTATATAATACAGTCAACTTGGATTAATTTGTGTTACTTTGGAATATTGTTTTCCTTCGAGTTTTCATTCCTACTTAAAAAAATAGGGAGTATATATATGCATATATTTTTTTTTGATGAAATGAGAATAAATCATGAAAAAGGATGAGAAATTATATTAGAGTTAAATTTTATCATGTGTCTTAGAGTTATTAGATTATCATTGGTTTCTATAATGCAGTCAACTTGAATTAATTTGTGTTACTTTGGAATATTGTTTTCTTTCGTGTTTTCATTCCTACTTAAAAAAATAGGGAGTATATATATATTGATGAAATGAGAATAAATCATGAAAAAGGATGAGAAATTATATTAGAGCCAAAAATTTCTCTCATACATTAGTTGCATTTCTTTTCCTTGTTTTCTATTGTAACCAAATAAGGAGTAATGGTTTTCATTGCATTTTCTATTTCTCCTTCCTCATCAAATTCATGAACCAAACACGACCTTAGGTCCCATTGTATCATAGGTATAGGAATGAGATTCAAGAATGCAAACTTTCTTGGAATCCCATTAAAGCATTTGGTATGCTATGTTGATAATGGAAATGCAAATCTAGATGAACACTCCAGAATTAAGGAAATATTGTTCCCAACTTAAGGTGGGGTTAGGGTTTCATTCCCATGGAAAGGAGTCTGAAAATATGATAACACTGCACCCTAAGATGTCTTAATGGTTTATACAAACACATAATATTAAATATAATTAACTTGTGTTACTTTGGAATATTGTTTTCTTTCGTGTTTCATTCCTACTTCAAAAAAATAGGGAGTATATATATATTGATGAAATGAGAATAAATCATGAAAAAAGATGAGAAATTATATTAGAGCTAAAAATTTCTCTCATACATTAGTTGCATTTCTTTTCCTTGTTTTCTATTGTAACCAAATAAGGAGTAATGGTTTTCATTGCATTTTCTTTTTCTCCTTCCTCATCAAATTCATGAACCAAACACGACCTTAGGTCCCATTGTATCATAGGAATAGGAATGAGATTCAAGAATGCAAACTTTTTTTGAATCCCATTAAAGCATTTGGTATGCTATGTTGATAATGGAACTACAAATCTAGATGAACACTCCAGAATTAAGGAAATATTGTTCCCAACTTAAGGTGGGGTTAGGGTTTCATTCCCATGGAAAGGAGTCTGAAAATATGATAACATTGCACCCTAAGATGTCTTAATGGTTTATACAAACACATAATATTAAATATAATTAACTTGTGTTACTTTGGAATATTGTTTTCCTTTGTGTTTTCATTCCTACTTAAAAAAATAGGGAGTACATATATACATATATTTTTTTTTGATGAAATGAGAATAAATCATGAAAAAGGATGAGAAATTATATTAGAGTTAAATTATGTGTCTTAGAGTTATTAGATTATCATTGGTCTATATAATACAGTCAACTTGGATTAATTTGTGTTACTTTGGAATATTGTTTTCTTTCGTGTTTCATTCCTACTTCAAAAAAATAGGGAGTATATATATATTGATGAAATGAGAATAAATCATGAAAAAAGATGAGAAATTATATTAGAGCTAAAAATTTCTCTCATACATTAGTTGCATTTTCCTTATTTTCTATTGTAACCAAATAAGGAGTAATGGTTTTCATTGCATTTTCTTTTTCTCCTTCCTCATCAAATTCATGAACCAAACACGACTTTAGGTCCCATTGTATCATAGGTATAGGAATGAGATTCAAGAATGCAAACTTTCTTGGAATCCCATTAAAGCATTTGGTATGCTATGTTGATAATGGAAATGCAAATCTAGATGAACATTCCAGAATTAAGGAAATATTGTTCCAACTTAAGGTGGGATTAGGGTTTCATTCCCATGGAAAGGAGTCTGAAAATATGATAACACTGCACCCTAAGATGTCTTAATGGTTTATACAAACACATAATATGAAATATAATAAAATCGTACTGCATTAAAAGATTTAAAATAAAGTAGTAAAAAGTAATTGACTTTACAAGGTACAGTTATATCATATTTACCACACAAAAAAAAAGAAAAAAGAAAAGGTTATATCACATTATATGTTTTGTAAAGTTATGTATTTTATCTCTAAATAGCACTAGCATTTCTTGCACGGATTCTAATTTGAAAGTGCAATTTCTTACGCTTAAACACTTTGTGGTCAGATACATCCTAAAACAACACATGTAACAATTGTCCTAATAGGAGTTGCGTAACTTATGTTCAATATTCTTGCAAACGGGGTTCACGCTAGTGTATCTTGAAAATTTTCCAAAACAAGGAGCCTACATACGATCAACATAACATTAAGTATGTAATGGAAACTTTTAATACAACTTACAAGAAAGAATTAATATTGAAAATTAAAAAAAAGAAAAAGAAAATAGGTAATATGTATTATTTGTAGAACCTCATTTTTTAAATTGGCAATTTTTTAATACAAAGATTTATACCAAACAAATAAATGGCTGCCTTACTTTTCCTGTCAAGTTTTATTTATTTATTTTTGATAAGTAAATTCATTATAAAGTGCCCAAAGGGTGCAATCTTTGTACGAAAAAGATATACGCATCAAAAAAGTTTATTCCATGCTTTGTGGCATGATTGCATCTCATTCCCATTATGTTCCATTTTTGCAAACCAAGCATGCCTTTAGGCCTCGTTTGGGAACAGGCTAATTTAGTAACTTTTGGGCTATTTGGCTAAAATATGAGTTAAAAAAAATTAGTATGTTTGGGATGACTTTTTGGCTTTTTTCGAAAAGATGTGCAAAAAGTAGAGAGAAAAGAGAATTTTTGATTTTTTGGTATGAGTTGTTGGCTTTTTGGCTAATTTAGTAACTTTTTGACTTTTTGGCTAAAATGGAGGGTTCCCAAACGAGGCCTTAGTTTTTAAAACCAGTCGTGGAGAATGTTACCTCCATATGTGAAGTGAAATCCCACATCGCTTGGCTACTAAAGTAATATGTAGTATAAAACATGAGGTTACCCTCACATCAATAGTTAGTTTTTTGGGTTGAGTTTTACCCAATTCCGTGTAAGGCCATGATCCATCAATATGCTTTTGAGAATTCTAAGTGTCAAAATACATATTTGTAGAGGGATGAAGGAGTGAAGTTGGTGACCGAGGCTATTTGCTCTGGCATATTCAATGACTTGGGAAGTGGAAGCAATGTTGATGTTTGCGTAATAACCAAGGTTTGTTGATTCACACTGACATTCCTTTAAAAGAATAAAAGGTTTCACTTTTTCCGTATGTAGTCTTGATACTTTTCACGTGGCATGGCTTTCTAAACTCCTTTTGTCAATGTTTGCTTGTACAGGGGCAAACAGAGTACCTGAGAAACCACCAGTTGCCCAATCCTCGCACTTACATCAACGAAAGAGGCTATTCATTCCCAAAGAAGACTGGTCAGTAATTCTGTCCTAAACATTGCCTTCATGTTGGTATTTACAATTTTGCTTCATATAACTCTTAGAACTGTCTTCTTTTTGTTGTTTGAGGGCTTTGTACTATTATTTTTTATACTTAAATTAAAAAGAAAAATAAAAAAAAAAAAGAAAAAAGAAAAAGGAAGGCTTATCTTGTTTGATTTTGAGATTGTTATCACGATAACATTATTTATTGAGCATTTTAGCATTTATCTGCCAACTGACCTTGTACTGGACTCACTTCTTAGACTATAATGCTAGAATATTATGAGACTGGTGATTTTTGTCTTCTGCTTATTCTAATATGGATAATTAATATTTGATGGTCAATGGATAAATGTATATATATATATGGGCAACAATTCATACCGAAAACTTAAGTCTGATGCTATGGCCAAGTCTATATATTTCTTGGATTGTAGGGTAATATTTGTAACCTCACGGTAACATTTGGTTGTGATTGCAGAGGTTCTGTTGACAAGGATTACACCGTTGAAACAGATGGTGGAGGTAACTGAAGCAGGAGATGCGATGGAAGAATGAGTTACTGTGGTTGAACCATGCTCGGTATTTTGTATTGAATTCTTGCCATTTATGACACTGTTTACTCTCATATTGTATCAGGTGTGACATTAAAAATTTAAAACTAAGTTGTTTCCTTTCTGCAATTAACATTTGTTTAGTTCCTTCATTATGTCATATGCTATCTTTGTGGTGGTATGGAATCTCATATGAAGATTTAGGAGTGGCAATTTCTGAGAAGGATCATTTTGAGCCACCGTTGTTGGTGTTTTTTTTTTTTTTTTTGCTTTTTTGGTTTTTCTCTATTTCATGCACAGAACAAACACTGTTTAAATTATCTTGTCTCTTTTGTGGTTATGTGGAAGCTGCTGAAAATGATGAAAATGCAGAACAAGGTCTAGTGATATTTGGAAACATCATTTTTCCCCCCCTATACGAGGATAGAGAAGCTTCAATCAAAATCTCTTATGAAATACCATTCCCTGTTTTAAGATTAAATTTCTGAATCCCAGCATCTAAATGAGCAGAGTCAATTAGAGTAATAAGTTATTTAAATTTGGCTCGTAAACTTAAGGAGTTTGAAAATGTGTTTAAGTTTTTCTTGTTTATCTTTTGAGCCAATCTCAAAAGAGTTTTAATGAGCCAAGGTTGATTAGTTTTATTTTTTATAATGCATGTAATTGAGTCAAGTCAAGTAAAAATTGTTTAAGTTTAGTTTAAAAACTTAACAAGTTTTAAAATGTATTTAAACTCAAACATGTTTTTAACACGCCAAATAAGAGTGAGCTTAAGTAGTTTGATTTGTCTTGCAACTCTAGTTGAAACACATTGTGAAGCAAATATTAGAAGACCAAAGAAAGACCACAATAAAATGATTTTATTGCTTAAACAAACTAAAACAGTACATGGAACGTCATTAAACTTCTTTAATAAGGCTGTATTTAGATGATGAATTTGCATAACGATTTGGAAAAAAAAAAAGAAGAAAAAAAGTGAAAAGTTGAGTAAAATACTATTATATTTCATTCACATTTCAAATATTTTTTCTTTTTGTCTTCTCAAATTTATAGTCAAATTCATGATTTAAATACAGTCTAAATGGTTTCTTATATGTTTGTTCTTAAAAAAATGATATACAAGTCTACTTTTTAGACTTAGTGATGTGTCAACCAATTATCTTCTTGATACATCACTGAGTCTAAAGAGTAAGTTTAACTTTTGAGACTGAATAACAGTACTCTTGTTCTTTTCACATATTTCTTCCATATGTATAAATACATCACTATCTTCTCTATCTCATGCTAAAACTACGAGACTCCCAAGCATGTTCTTTCTGAAGAAATCCAACACTGAGTTGAATCGAGGGAAAGGCGTGGTCACATTCAATCTTCTAGTACTATTAACAATTTTGAACCACTGACTTGCTGGGTCGCATTTGTGACATATTTTTAAGCATCCCATTTTGAAGTTGAGCCACTGCAAATCACACCAAGCTTGACTGGTTTGTTTAGACCATCTGCTTGTAAACAGAAATAAGTTCCTTTTAGGGTTATTGTCTTTTGCTGTGTGTTATAGAACCAAGCCTCAGAGTCTGTGCATAGACCTAGATTCAATGGCTCCAACAGTGATTTTCTTTGGAGACATGACCAGTTAGTGGGTGGAATATTACTTTGTGTTGTTTGGCTCTTGGTTGGCCTGGTTGTTGTATTGGTCCTGCATGCCAAACAGAGCATAAACAAAACCATTTATATAAAGGCAGTTACAAATCTGTAATATGATTGAATTTAACAGTTAAAGTTTTCCCTTGCAGTTACAGAAGGCCATTTTCAGAAAGTACAAAATGTGACATTTTGTGTTAATACCAACTCCAGTATTTATTCACTTAAAAAAGCTCAAGTATTCGATTTACATGTAAAGAGATTTAAAAAAAAGTGTACAATTTTTTATTGTACTCACTTATATATATAATATATAATCATTTAAGTTTCTTAATATGTATTCGAAGGATACAAGTTAACAAAAAATAAATATGTAGATGATATTCAATTCCAAGCTCTCAAATTAAAGTTGGTATATGTTTGCAAGGGATGTGCATAAATCTTTCTTGGGGAAAAATAATAAATGAAATTAAAAAAATAAATTATACACTAGGCTTCCTCCACGAATTATTTAAAAAGTTAGTTTCTAGAAAAAATTGTTTGTCATATTTCTAGCTTTTTGACTTCTTGGACTTAGAGTGACTTAAGTAAGTTTTTTTTTAGCAGGAAATGAGTTTGTTGAGTTTGTCAAATAAGTGAAGGCTTCTTAGACTCACGAAATTTGTTGGGTACGTTTGGTTTGTGTTTGGGAGATGAGTTTTAGAAATAAAAAGTACGAAAAGTTGTTTGGTTTGATTTTTTTCAAAAGATGTTTTGAAAAATTATTTTGAGAGAGAATTTTGAAAAAAGTGATTGATTTGATGTGTATGAGAGAGAGATTTGTTTGGAAAACTTGTAAACCAAACAAGTTTTGGGAAATGTTTTTAAGAAAATTTGTTTGGTTTTGTTAAAATTACTGTATTATTGATTGATATATATTGTGTTTACAATGAGTCCTATATATAGAAGATTAGAGGAGGTAGGTATGTAGTAGGTGGAGTGGTGAGGTGGTAGTGGTGTAGTGGGTTAGGTTTAGTGGCTGAAGTAGGTGATAGGTTTTAACAGCCCCCCGCAAACTCAAGGGGGATAAGAACTAACCAACTTGAGTTTGGAGAGAGTAACAAAACAAGAAAATACATAAAAAATAAAAGAGGATAGGAGACACTGTATGGTCGTGTCAGACCGTTGTAGAAGACCGATGTAGAAGACACTAGCTCGTGTCGGACCGATGTAGAAGACAGTTTATGGGGTCATGTCGGACCGTTGTAGAAGACAGTTTACGGAGTCTTGCTGGACCCTTGTAGAAACTAACCGGAATCAATGTCGGGACAGTTTACAGAGTCTTGTCAGACCCATGAAGGAGCTAACCGGAATCAATGTCGAGACAGTTTACAGAGTCTTGTCGGACCCATAAAAAATCAAACCGGAATCAATGTCGGGACAGTTTACAGAGTCTTGTCAGACCCATAAAGGAGCTAACCGGAATCAATGTCGAGACAGTTTACAGAGTCTTGTCGGACCCATAAAAAAATCGCATCCTCAAAAGGTGCGCTCAATTTTTCAAAAGGCGTGCCATCAAAAGGCGTGCCATCAAAAGGCGAAGGCAAACAGAGTACCTGAGAAACCACCAGTTGCCCAATCCTCGCACTTACATCAACGAAAGAGGCTATTCATTCCCAAAGAAGACTGGTCAGTAATTCTGTCCTAAACATTACCTTCATGTTGGTATTTACAATTTTGCTTCATATGACTCTTAGAACTGTCTTCTTTTTGTTGTTTCAGGGCTTTGTACTATTATTTTTTATACTTAAATTAAAAAGAAAAATAAAAAAAAAAATAAAAAAGAAGGCTTATCTTGTTTGATTTTGAGATTGTTATCATGATAACATTATTTATTGAGCATTTTAGCATTTATCTGCCAACTGACCTTGTACTGGACTCACTTCTTAAACTATAATGCTAGAATATTATGAGACTGGTGATTTTTGTCTTCTGCTTATTCTAATATGGATAATTAATATTTGATGGTCAATGGATAAATGTATATATATATATATGGGCAACAATTCATGCCGAAAACTTAAGTCTGATGCTATGGCCAAGTCTATATATTTCTTGGATTGTAGGGTAATATTTGTAACCTCACGGTAACATTTGGTTGTGATTGCAGAGGTTCTGTTGACAAGGATTACACCGTTGAAACAGATGGTGGAGGTGACTGAAGCAGGAGATGCGATGGAAGAATGAGTTACTGTGGTTGAACCATGCTCGGTATTTTGTATTGAATTCTTGCCATTTATGACACTGTTTACTCTCATATTGTATCAGGTGTGACATTAAAAATTTAAAACTAAGTTGTTTCCTTTCTGCAATTAACATTTGTTTAGTTCCTTCATTATGTTATATACGATCTTTGTGGTGGTATGGAATCTCATATGAATACTGGAGATTTAGGAGTGGCAATTTCTAAGAAGGATCATTTTGTTGTTTTTTTTTTTTCTTTTTTGGTTTTTCTCTATTTCATGCACAGAACAAACACTGTTTAAATTATCTTGTCTCTTTTGTGGTTATGTGGAAGCTGCTGAAAATGATGAAAATGCAGAACAAGGTCTAGTGATATTTGGAAACATCATTTTTTCCCCCTATACGAGGATAGAGAAGCTTCAATCAAAATCTCTTATGAAATACCATTCCCTGTTTTAAGATTAAGTTTCTGAATCCCAGCATCTAAATGAGCAGAGGCAATTAGAGTAATTAGTTATTTAAATTTGGCTCGTAAACTTAAGGAGTTTAAAAATGTGTTTAAGTTTTGCTTGTTTATCTTTTGAGCCAATCTCAAAAGAGTTTTAATGAGCTAAGGTTGATTAGTTTTATTTTTTATAATGCATATAATTGAGTCAAGTCAAGTAAAGATTGTTTTAGTTTAGTTTAAAAACTTAACAAGTTTTAAAATGTATTGAAACTCAAACATGTTTTTAACAAGCCAAATAAGAGTGAGCTCAAGTAGTTTGATTTGTCTTGCAACTCTAGTTGAAACTCATTGTGAAGCAAATATTAGAAGACCAAAGAATGACCACAATAAAATGATTTTATTGCTTAAACAAACTAAAACAGTACATGGAACTTCATTAAATTTCTTTAATAAGGCTGTATTTAGATGATGAATTTGCGTAACGATTTGGAAAAAAAAAAAAGAAAAAAAAAGTGAAAAGTTGAGTAAAATATTATTATATTTCATTCACATTTCAAATATTTTTTTCTTTTTGTCTTCTCAAATCTGTAGTCAAATTCATGATTTAAATACAGCCTAAATGGTTTCTTATATGTTTGTTCTTAAAAAAAATGATATACAAGTCTACTTTTTAGACTTAGTGTCTTCTTGACACATCACTGGGTCTAAAAAGTCTAACTTTTGAGACTGAATGACAATACTCTTGTTCTTTTTACATATTTCTTCCATATGTATAAATACATCACTATCTTCTCTATCTCATGCTAAAACTACGAGACTCCCAAGCATGTTCTTTCTGAAGAAATCCAACACTGAGTTGAATCGAGGGAAAGGCGTGGTCACATTCAAACTTCTAGTACTATTAACAATTTTGAACCATTGACTTGCTGGGTCGCACTTGTGACGTATTTTTAAGCATCCCATTTTGAAGTTGAGCCATTGCAAATCACACCAAGCTTGACTGGTTTGTTTAGACCATCTGCTTGTAAATAGAAATAAGTTCCTTTTAGGGTTATTGTCTTTTGCTGTGTGTTGTAGAACCAAGCCTCAGAGTCTGTGCATAGACCTAGATTCAATGGCTCCAACAGTGATTTTCTTTGGAAACATGACCAGTTAGTGGGTGGAATATTACTTTGTGTTGTTTGGCTCTTGGTTGGCCTGGTTGTTGTATTGGTCCTGCATGCCAAACAGAGCATAAACAAAACCATTTATATATAGGTAGTTACAAATCTGTAATATGATTGAATTTAACAGTTAAAGTTTTCCCTTGCAGTTACAGAAGGCCATTTTCAGAAAGTAAAAAATGTGACATTTTGTGTTAATACCAACTCCAGTATTTATTCACTTAAAAAAACTCAAGTATTCGATTTACATGTAAAGAGATTTAAAAAAAAGTGTACAATTTTTATTGTACTCACTTATATATATAATAAATAATCATTTAAGTTTCTTAATATGTACTCGAAGGATACAAGCTAACAAAAAATAAATATGTAGATGATATTCAATTCCAAGCTCTCAAATTAAAGTTGGTATATGTTTGTAAGGGATGTGCATAAATCTTTCTTGGGGAAAAATAATAAATGAAATTAAAAAAATAAATTATACACTAGGCTTCCTTCACGAATTATTTAAAAAATTAGTTTCTAGAAAAAATTGTTTGTCATATTTCTAGCTTTTTGACTTCTGGGACTTAGAGTGACTTAAGTAAGTTTTTTTTAGCAGGAAATGAGTTTGTTGAGTTTGTCAAATAAGTGAAGGCTTCTTAGACTCACGAAATTTGTTATTTTTTATGAAGTATTTTTGAAATACCAACTTAATATGATGATGTGATACTCACAAATTAATAAGACCATTTTGTGTGGAGCCAACTCAATCTACCTTGGTCAACTAGGTGAAGACAGTCAGTCTATCTATCTCATATTCTACCAATCAAGAACACTGCATACACATAACACTGTGGTGCTCCAAAAAAAATATACATATTTCTAAAAAAAGACATGAATTCAATACCTTGAAAGGGTAATTGGATGCCAGAGATCCTGTCCAAGAAGCTTGAATTCCTAGCCTCAGACCAATTCCAATTGAAAAACCCATAAACCTCGTCGAACCCACTCACCCCTTCTTTCAAATAGTAACTCCCAGCAAGAGTCCACAAAGCCCAGTCAAAGTCAAGTTCAGCATTAAAATTCAATTATGACCGTTGGTGCGATCCTAAGTTCCAGTGAGGCCCGGCATAACCATGGATGTTCCAAAGAAGAGAAAGATCATCTAATTCGTAGCACTAAGAAGATCAAAGGTATTTCTGATTCAGCTGATGATGGTATGGAGGTACAGAGCTCGGTGGATGATACTCAGGGGAAGGCGAACCCTAACCTTTCGATACCTGAGGAACCTATGTTGGAGGCCTCCCTGAGCCAGAAAAAGGAAATTAGGTCGGAAGCTCCACCTCCTCCCATGGAAGGGCAGTCAGACCAAGTTCGATCGTTCAAACAAGCCTTGTTGTGTTCTCGATTTAATGAATGTGGAAATGAAAAGAATTTTGACTGTGATGTTGAGACACTCTCTTCGGATGAAGATGATTTGGCCAACGACACAGGTCCTGAGGATCACATGGAGATCAATGAAGGAAATAGGGCAGGTATTCCTATAGTTACCATACCAGCCAATCTCCCAAAAAAAATTAGGGATTCTTGGAAAAAATGTTTAATTGTAAGGTTGCTAGGGAAGAAAATAGGGTATAAACTGTTTATGATCAAAATGACAAAGATCTGGGGCCTTCAAGCTAACTTTGAAGCCCTGGACATTGGTAATGGTTTTTTTATTGTTAAGTTTGATATGATGGAAGATTATACAAAAGTGTTCACAGGTGGCCCATGGGTTGTTCTGGATCACTATGTGACGGTGAGGAAATGGCAACAAGATTTCAAATCTGATGAGGCTGAAGAAGATACCACTGCCATCTGGGTGCGGTTTCCTAATCTGCCGATTGAGTATTATGATGAGAAAGTTCTTTATCATATCGCGAAGATCCTGGGGGTGCCTCTGAAGGTGGATATAAATACGGCCATGGCAGCTAGGGGGAAATATGCTAGAGTTTGTGTGGAAGTTGATCTTCGAAAACCACTGATTTCTCAGTTTTCTATAGGTAAGTATACATATGTTATAGAATATGAACACTTACATACTCTCTACTTTTCTTGTGGCAGGGTGGGACATCGCAAAGAAAGTTGCAGTGAGAATTTTTCACCGGTGACAACCATCCCTAACCATAATCCCACCAGAGAAGAAAACCTAGGGAAGGAGGCTACTATAAATGGGCTGGACTCATGTAATGGAAGAGATAAAGAAGGGCCAGAGACTGATAAATATGGGCCTTGGATGAAGGCCACCACAAGGAGAAGAAGGCAAGGCCAAAAAAATTCTAAAGGGCCCAATGCCCATGTACGTAACAAATTTGAAGTTCTGAGTAACGTGGAAGCCCCACCACGGATGATAGAAGCCCAAGATCCTTCAAGATCAATTCCTACTGGGCCAGATCAAGCTGATTTGGGATTAACACACAAAGAACAATCTGCCAAGCCAGCAGACAGTATGGCTAATTTGGGTTCATCAAGTGACTTGAACATGGATAACTGGAGAGAAGAGATTAGACAAGGCAAACAGCAGAGTTGCATTACTGCAACAAGTTTTCAGAAGTTAGAACAAGAAGTAAGGGAGTCTATGTCATCCATCCTAATCCCCATCAGCCCTAGGACTTCTTAACAAGTTAAAAGAAACCCTAAGGCTAAGGTTAGAGAACCACCAGATCGTTATGGAAGAAGAAGGAGAGAATTACCCAACAGAGAAGCATATCCTGAACATGCACAGAGTCTTGTTAATGCTTGCACCAGACAAAGAAGTGTTTCACCTTGTCACTACAGAATGGTGGATAGAGGGAGTAAAGCTGAGAATCCATCCTTGGAGACAGATAGAAGCCAGCCAGGAGCGGCACTTCATAGCATTAACACCAACATTGTCAATGGAGGACAACCAGAGTAAAGCTAAGGGTATTCTGGGCTTGTCTAACCAGAACACTCTTCCTACCCTTAACCAGTCATCTATGAATCTGATGGTTTGGAATTATAAAGGTGCAGGTAACAAAAGTCTCATAGGAATATGAGGGAATTAGTCCAGATTAACAAACCTGATATGCTAATCCTTATGGAAACCAAGGTTGAGTTTAACTCTATGGGCATGTTCTTCAATAGGATGGGTTTCACTGCATCTTTTCATGTGGATCCCATCAGTAGAAGTGGGGGTATTTGGTTAGTCTGGAACCCCATCATTGTGAATGTGAGAGTCACTGAGGCCAGTTCCCAGTTGATCACTGCCACCATTTCGAGGCAAGATTATCCCGATTGGATTTTATCTGTTATCTATGCTAGTCCTATTAGCCAGAAAAGGGATGAGCTGTGGAATAATTTGGAAAGATCTTCCCAAACTATCACTGATCCTTGGCTTTTAGCTAGGGACTTTAATGACTTTGCTTCTCTTGATGAAAAAAGAACCATGTCTGGAAGCCAAAACTAAAGTCAAGATCAACAGAGAGCTCAGAAATTTACTGAGAGGGTGAACAATTGTAACCTGATGGACTTGGGATGTACAGGTCCTAAGCTCACTTGGTCTAATAATAGAAATGGGTGGGCTAATACTATGGTGCGACTTGATAGAGCCATGTGCAACACTGAATGAAAGACGAGCTTCCCCGATGGTTTGGTCCAGAATCTCCCTCGTACATACTCTGATCACTCTCCTTTGATGATCTTCACTCAAGGTAAGCATTCTTTTAATCATGTTTGTAAACCCTTTAAATTTGAAGCTGCTTGGATCTCTCATGAAGAGTTCCAGTCAGTTGTGGATTCTAATTGGAAGTTCCCCTCTTCATCTGTTCTAGATAAGCTTGATTACCTTACTAACAAAATCACTGTTTGGAATAAAGAGGTGTTTGGTAACATTTTTAGAAAAAAAAGATGGTTACTTGGTAGAATTGAAGGAATTCAAAAATCCCAACTATGTAAATTTTCCCATAACCTCCATCTTTTGGAGTTGGATTTGGTGGAACAATATAACAAAATCTTGTATCAAGAAGAGCTACTTTGGTTTCAAAAATCAAGGTCTAAGTGGATTACCCAAGAGGAAAGAAACACTAAATTTTTCCATCTTTCTTCTTTAGCTAAGAGGAGGAGGTGTAAAATTGTCATGCTCAAGAATGAGGCAGGGACTTGGATTGATCAAACTGAGAGCCTTAAAACTTTGGTTACTGATTATTTCCAGAACCTGTTTTGTTCTTCTTCTACTGTTGGTTTGGATCATTGGAATAATTGCATTTCTCCTAAAGTGGATGTTACTGATAATCTTTCTCTCACTAAGTATGTGACTAATGAGGAAATCTGGCAGATTGTTAAACAAATCCAGGCTTTCAAAGCTCCTGGGAGAGATGGCTTCCAAGCTATTTTTTACCATACTTATTGGCCTATTGTTGGGCCTGATGTCTGTGCTTTTGTTCAAAACTGTTTTGTCAACAAGTGTATCCCTCCTGTTATCAATAGAACACTTGTGGCCTTGATTCCCAAAACTGAGAATCTTGAGACTATCACACAATTTAGGCCTATTAGTCTTTGCAATGTGACTTATAAAATTATTGCCAAAATCCTTGTTAGTCGAATCAGACCCCTCTTATCTAAACTTGTCAGTCCTTACCAGAGCAGTTTTGTCCCTGGGAGAACTACCAATGATAATATTATCATTACCCAAGCAATTATCCATACCTTGAACCAGAGAACAGATAGGAGTGGAGGGATGATTCTTAAAATTGACCTTGAAAAAGCCTATGATCTTGTTTCTTGGGATTTCTTAGAACAAACTCTGGTGGAATTCAATTTTGAGGCTAATTTTATTGAACTCATCATGAGCTGTGTGACTTCTGTGCAAATTGCCATTCTCTGGAATGGTGAACCCCTTCCTGAATTCAAACCTTGCAGAGGTTTGAGGCAAGGAGATCCCCTCTCCCCATATCTTTTTGTTTTGTGCATGGAAAGACTCTCTAGTATGATCATTGCCACCTCTGAAGGCAATCATTAGAAAGGCATTAAGACCTCCAAGCATGGCCCCTGTCTCACTCATCTGTTTTTTGTTGATGATCTAATGCTGTTTGCTAAGGCTGACTTGGCTCATTGCAATATTATCATGAGAATCATGTATGAATTTTGTGATTTATCTGGACTTAAGATTAATGCCCTTGAGTCCAAGATATTTGTCTCTCCTAATATTGATAGACATAAAGCTAAAGAGTTGAGTGAAAGGTGTGGCATTCCTTTAACTCCTGATTTAGGGAAATATTTGAGGGTTCCTCTCATTCATGGCAGAGTGAGTTGGGGACACTATAATGGCATTCTGAATAAAATGCAAATGAAACTTGCTGGGTGGAAAACTAGTGTTTTATCACTAGTTGGCAGAACTACGTTAATCCAATCTGTTAGCTCTGCTATTCCTGCTTATACTATGTAGACTGTGGCTTTTCCTAAAAGGGTTTGCAATGATATTGATAAAATGAATAGAAAATTTCTTTGGGGTGATACCCTAGAGAAGAAGAAAATTCACTTGGTCAAGTGGGATGTTGTCTGTCAGCCGAAAGGGATGGGTGGGCTTGGCATTAAGAAAGCTAAGGATCAAAATCTTGCCCTACTGTCTAAACTTGGCTGGAAAATGATTAGTCATGAGAATGGTCTTTGGAAAGAGGTTCTTAAGTGTAAGTATATGAGGAATAATTGTCTTCAGGCTTGTTCTAGAGGTAAGAAAGCCTCTCATACCTGGAGAGGCATTCTTAACTCTAGAGCCATCTTGAGGAAAGGGGTTAAATGGACAGTTGGTAATGGTGCCACTGATAATTGTTGGAAGGACTGGTGGTGTGGAGATAAGGCCATTGAGGATCTCACCCTCAGTAGTTCACAATCTGCTCCCATTTGGGAGAGTGATGTTAATGTGAACAACCTGCTTTCTGAGCAAGGAAGCTGGAATAAAACTGTTATCTGTGAATTGTTGCCTCCTGCATTCGCATCTATCATCCTGAACAGGCCTTCTCTAACCTCTCTTGAGCCTGATGAACCTAACTGGAAAGGCTCAGCAAATGGGATTTTCTCATCTGCTAGTGCTTATGTTCTGGTGAGTGGTAATCAACCCCAAGGTGAGGATTGGCAATGGCTTTGGAAGTTACGGATTCCTCAGAAACTGAAAGGGTTCTTGTGGTGTTGTATCCATGAGAAACTCCTCACAAATAAGCATCGTTTGAAAAGGGGTTTATCTTTGGAGGCCACTTGCCCCAATTGCTGTAAAGAGGAGGATATGAATCACCTCCTAAGAGATTGTTTTAAAGCAAAAGAAGTGTGGTTTGCTATTTTTGGAAGGCATTGGTACTTGAATATGAGTAGCAAGCCTTGGAAGGACTGGCTTATTTATAATTCAAAAAACAAAAATCATTTTAATAATAATCTTACTGTCTACACTATTTTTATTGTTACTCTTTGGGCTATTTGGAAGAATAGGAACCACAAAGTCTTCAATAATAGTGTAACTAATAGTCTTGACAGTGGCAGGTTCATCATGAAATACTCTAATGATATTCATCAAGCTTTTGTTCTGTCTATTGTTAATCCAAAACCTGCTTTTAGACTCATTTCATGGTCTCTCCCACCTGCAAGTACATTGAAGTTAAACACAGATGGTTGTAGGAGAGTGGGAGGGGAAGGTAGATTCGGAGGTCTAATTCGTGATGAAAAGGGGACATGGGTGTGTGGCGATTATGGGAAGCTTCATAGTGGCACTAGCTTGGAGGCTGAGCTATAGGCGATCTACAAAGGGCTCACGGTGATTCTACAAAAGGGAATGAACAATGTAGCCATTGAGACAGATTGTGAGCAAGCAATGAAGCTGCTACAAGAGGAACCAAATGCCAAATGCCCATTCAAAGGGCTGGTGGAGGATGCTCATATTATCATGAGAGGTTGTGAATGCACTGTGCGGCATGTGTATAAAGAAGGCAACCTTTGTGCTGATGCTCTGGACAAATTTGGTGCTACTTAACCTGAAGAGATCTTAGTGGTTAATAAACCACAAGCTGTTATTAGGGAGTTCCTAGTTGCAGACATGATTGGCATGTCTTGTGAAAGGGCTTAGGCCTGTGTTTTCTTTTTTTATTTCCGTTGTAACTAAAAAAAAAATATATGTGCATGCATGCCCATGTACATATATAAATCAAACAATCAAAGTAGGCTTACAACAAATACACACCATAAATCTTCTTTTTTATCAGAAAACACGAGTAAAAAGCCATGATAAATTCTCGACAAAAAAAATTACCTCATCTGAATCAGTGAAAAAATCAGAAGAAGTTGAATCATCAGTGCTACTACTACCTTCTTCAACATTCTTAGCTGCAGGAGGTTTATCTTGCTTAGCATGTGACTTGGATTTTCTTACGATGACAAATTATAAAGGAAGCAGACATGGTGCTTTTAAAATTGGGGAATTACAATGCAGTGGGATAGAGGAAAAAAATTACAAAAACATGGGAGGTGCAAGTGATTCTATGATGGGATGCAAGGGAAAAATTATGGGGGTGCAAACTTGCACCCCTCTATGTTTGTGTTATAAAAAAAAAAATTCTGTCCCACTGGGATGTAATTTCCCCTTTTAAAATTTCAATGTACATACTATTATCAGCAGCATTAACTGGATGTTTCAACTCAGACTTAGACTCTACAAATAAGAAATAGGTATGAGTGCAATGACAAAAGGTGAAAAATAAGGAACATTAGAGCAGTGTGTTGACAAACTCACCAGAATCATTCTCAGGCGTGATCATAAAAAAGACAATCAGTTAAGGGAGACAATAATGACAAATAAACACACCCACCACCCAGAAAAAGGGGAAAAAGGAAAGCCAAAACTGGAAAAAGGAAGTAAAAATAATGCCAAATATAACGGCAGTAAGACCAAAAGCCAAGGAAAAATTTGCAGGAAATAGAATTCCATATAAGAAGAGAGAAGAAAACAAACAGAAAAAGGAAAGGATATTTATTCGATGGATTATCACATCTATATCCTGACAAGCAGACATAGCCACTTTTCCAGTTGTGGGATAGCACAAATTTTCTGTCGAACACCACATCAAATTGCTGCTGAGGGAATTTCTCAGGAGAAAGTGTTCCAAGGACAAGCTTCTTGCCATCAACGGTGGCATAGAGGTAAATGGATTCACTCCCTTTGTTCTTTTTAACCTCACCAAGACAAGCCTGTAGACAAGTATTTCACACACTTCAATGTAAATGCAAAGGATGCAACAATAATTAATTAAAACAACTACCAACTAAAATTCTGGTTGTTCAACCATAACCTGTGAAAGATGCACGATCTTGCCTTTCCCAGGTCTTACTGGGCGACTCTGTCCACTTTTGACCTTAAGTCCTGTACAATTATGACATGGTTAAGAATTCTCAAAAACTGCATTCAATAAACCAGTATAAAAATAGAAATAAAAATATAATAGCTGCACAAAAACATAACATAGAGTGCAGCCAAAAATTGACACATGTAGCTTGACAATTCAATAAACAACCAGAACTCTGTAAATGATTGCACCATTCTGTAAATATAAAAAACCAGTGTCTGATTTCAGTCAAATAATTATATATAATTGTATAAGTAAATATGTCTATTTGTTAAATACATGCATGCATACATATTTTCCTATATCCTTAAAAGAAACAGAAATCTAGCACAAGATTCGACTTGAATATCATTTGACAATTAGTGACTTTTTTTTGTCACGATTTTTATAAATTGTTGCTAAAACTTACAATTAGTGACATTTTTTTGTGATGAATTTTTTAAATTGTCCTTGAAAGTTGAAAATTAATGACTTTTTTTGTGACGGTTTTTTTGAACTGCTGCTAAATTTATAATTAATAACTTTTT